CAGGGGAACACTGAAAACACTAGAAAACTAAGGAAAATAAACACAGACCATGACATCACCTCTGTTTTGTTTTCATTAAAATTTAAGAAATTTAAGGCCAACCAAGCTTTAATATCTCCTAGACATGCCAGGAGATGTTTTATATTTTTATTAAATACACAACAAATTTTCTTTTATTGTTGTAAATGCACATTTTTTTTTCAACATGACGCCGCACCAGCAGGCAGTTGTAGTAGCAGCTCAGCAAGAGCTCTGTGTTTTTTCTAGTTTGAGTCTATTTTTCTATTTTCTAYGCTGTCTTTTTTTATTATTATTTCTATATTACTACGTTTTTGCTCATGTAATGGACTAATTATCTATCTGTGTCACATRTTCAATGTTAATCTGTTTGTCCAGACAACAGGACACCGCAATGGACWGACCTCTMTTGTTTGATAAGACACTCTTTGAGCTGGGAGCCCTGTGATAGGCTGGAGAGCACATGGGGCGATCTGTGATTGGTTACAAGCACGTCATATGATGTTATCATGGCGTATATTATTGGCTGTGTCCGCTGACGTGTCAGCGACAAGCCAACGGGAACTTACTGATTGAGTCCTGTTTGTTTGTTGCTCAGAATTAAATCATTTATTAMGACCATACACGCAGACTTTTCTGGCATTATTCCAACGTGTTTCTGCCTTCATACCACGACACTCACAATAGAGCTGACTTTTTTCTTGGAGACACTGTTTTTATTTACATAGCATAGCACTATAGCTATGTCACATAGCAAGATACTGTTTCTGTGGATTGATGTACMGTATTTATTCGTGTATAATACGATCTCATGTATAATACGACCCCCCTTTTTTGAGCTTAGAAAGCATAAAAAATTTAATCCTCAAACTACCTCCAATTTCATTCCGACTTCAAGATTTTTCAGCCTTTGCAATCTTTATACATATCAGTAAAATGATCATTGGACTGTTCATTTTATTTTAACAACATATGTACTAAAAGGTATTTTGACAACAAATATACTGTATATCAGCTGTAGCAGCATCATATGAATTCTGGCATTTTACACATAGTCCACCAGGAGGTGCCAACACAAAAGTCAGAGACATCACATGAGATTTGGGCCATCTTATGGGGGAAAAGCAGATTACTTCCTACTCGCGAGCGCCCCCTCTGGTGGGGTAACTTTTGTCAGGGATACAAACTTTTTCAGAACACCGGTAGACGGCAGCCATTACAGATGAACATGTGTTTGTTGTTGTTCCAGGAGCAGCTCGGTCACACGCTAATGTCATTAGTTTGTTATCATTACTAAAGTGCAGGACTACTTTCACCCCCCTTTTTTTCACATCAAGTCACCTGCCTGGATCTGTTATTATCTCGCTCTGAGGCACGGAGGAGTGTCAGAGGTAAGCTTGCTTCAACTGCTTTTTACGTYGTGGTCTCATTTCCGGTCTGTGAATGAAGCTGAAATTTCAGTTAAAATACATAAGTAAAAATATTTATCCAAGTATAATACTACCCCCCAACTTTATAGATGATTTTATGGATTTAATTTCACGTATTATACTTGAATAAATACCTTATTTAGAAGGTCAGTGGCTAATTCTGTGACGAAACAGTTTTCCAAACAGAATWTAAACATATCTCTGCAGCACCACGAGAGACAAAATTCTAAGTTTCTGCACTGCTAGAGACTCCTGGTACACAAAAAATGCATTTAACTGCTAAAAAGTGGATTTTGCATGATGTATCACTTTTAAAAAGATTACAGCAAATTACAAAATCTGTACCGTGAGCTGTAGTTGCACTCTGTCTGTGAAGAATCTCCAGCAGTTCTCTCTGTTGTCCAGCAGTCCCAGCTCTCGTACCTCAGCTCTCACACTGGATACAATGTCTTCAATCTCCTCCTCACTGAAGATCTCTGGAATTTCACCTGGAGGGAAAGAGTCTTAATTCAAATCTGAAGTGCTCTGACCAACAGACAGGTAAAACACACCGCAAAGTTTATGGCTTTTAGATCTGACCTGATGCCAGTAAGTGATTAATAGGAACCAGAAAATGCTCATCAGGTATGTGCGCATCACTCAGGAGCAAAGCCACACGCTGATTCTTTACTCCAGCCTTTAGTAGTAATCCTGCCAAGTCCTTCTAAAAAAATAAAATAAAATAAAAACTTCAACAGACCAAGAATGGATACCAAAGTGTGAAGCATTCATGCTATATTGAGCCAACGGGAAGTGTTTTATTGTTTAACAATCAACTGGAGAATACTTATATTTTTAAAATGCCATAAATGATTCAATTAAAATACTTGCTGCATCAATAAGATATTAAATTCCTTATAGGTGACTTGTAATTATATCTGACAAACACTTTATGCATGACTAAAGAAGCTGAGCAAAAAATAAATGACATCAATATCCAGAGGACAATCAACAGTGAATCAATTATCTGCATGAAAACAGAAAGAAAACTGACCAAGAAATATTTAAATACTTTTCTATTTCATATTACAAGAATATTATGCAAGAATATGTCTATGATATGTAGCTAAAACAGTTTTTCATGAACTGTACCGTTTTCTTCCAATTCATGTTTTATGTTCTTTCTGGGTTCAGTTTTGAATAAAAGTCCATTTTTACCTTGAAGTCCTGGATGTTGTAACCTGTTCTCAGGGTGATTTCAAAGACTTCGACAGAAGATATGTAAGCAGCCAGGCGAGTCAGGCTCTGTTTTCCACTTCCCCCTACTCCAACCAGTAAGCCGTGAACCCTTGGAGCCTCCAGGATACGACTAATACGACAACTGATGACAATAAAATCTTTGTTATGGCTCTGCAGAGAAATTATTTTTACAGCAGTTGAATTTTCACCAGGTTCAATCCTTTAATAATTTGGGACTACATGACTTACACGTGCTGCATAGCATCTTCAAACAACACAAGATTCATGGCTGGATAGAGCTCGTTGTAGCTTTCTAGTGCGTCTGTGAGGATGGTTCTGAGTTCAGACCAGCTTGTGATCGGGGCATAAGACTGTTCATCACCCTTGTGTGCAAAACGGCAATAAAGGAGGGGCTGTGTGTTCACCAGTTTGTACTCCTGTCTCTGAAAAATAAGTTTTTATATTTTTTTGTCACTGTCATTATTTTCCAATAAAAACAGCAGTTTCTTCTTTTTTACGAGAATCCGCATTGCACCTCAAAACATTCATGCTCAGTCTCCATCTGGAGCTTCTGGAAGAGCTGAAGGTCTTTCGCATCTACCAATCTGTCTGAGTACACTCGGCGGGACTCGTGGCACCACAGCATCACTATATCAGTGGTTTCTCTCACACTGTCAGAGCTAGGTAAGAGAATGCCCTAAATAACAAAGATAACTGTTAATATTTTTTTCTATTACAACACCTAGTACAAAATGAGCTTACTATGGGAATTACCTGCAAGACATTAGATATGTCTCGGAGATTAAACGTGTAGTGAAACTTGATGGCGGTAGGCAGAAAATTATGAACCATCTTGTGATGGAGAACGATGAGAGCTCGGACAATGGAGGCAGAGCCTCTCTGAACCAGCAAACTGAAAGGCTGCTTCTTCAAATGGTCGCACAAGATCTGACTGTAGATYGATGTCTGAGCCTCAGATGAAGGGAAGTTCACTGCAAACACTGAGAAATGTCGCTGTTGGGGGGAGCAAGGATGCAAGAGAATTTTAGAAAATACTGAGCAATAAAAAAATCAATACCTCATTATTACTGTAAAAACATCAAATGTTTCTACTGTATGCAATGTTAATATGTATATCTGATTATACTGTATGATAAATATCACTTCAATAATTACCTCTAACTGAACATTGAAACTATAAGAATAAAATACACTGAGCACGGAAAGTAATTTCTGTTTGGTAGATTTGTTGTAATAATGCTTCAAGCCTGTTAATTTCAACATACTTGAAAAAAAACTAAGTAAAAGTATAATTACATGAACAGAAAATGACTTTGGTAAAACTAAATTTCATTGATGAGAAAACTACTCAAGTAAAAGTCATAAAACTGTTCACAAAAACTGGGAAACTAAAAGTAAAAGTACTTCTACACACTCTCTAAATGTTGAATTTCCTGAACCAAACGGTTCCACTAAAACAGGTTGAGTAAAGTGAGCAATATATATATATATATATGTTTTGCTCAATTTACTGAACTAGGCTTAGAGGACCCAGATGACATGACTGAGTAAATTCAACACCATTTTTTTAGAGCATGGAAACATCTTTCATGATGAGTTMGAACAAATTTTTATTTTGTAACAAGTAACTAGGTGTTACATTTTAAAGTAAAGAAGTAAAAGTATAATTTTTAGCTTTAAAATGTAACGAAGTAAAAGTAAAAGTAGACATTTGAAAAAATAATTAGTAAAATTAAAAATCCTCAAAAAACTACTTAAGTACTGTAACAAAGTAAATGTACTTAGTTACTATAAACCTCTGGTTAATTTCCCTTTTAATTGGTGCCACATGTGTAAGGAATGTATTTGTGGGATGAGCAGTGGAGCTGAGTAAGTGGGTTTCTATGGAGAACCGTTTCATTCAAAATTAAATAAATAAATAAATATAAAGACATGCTAAAAATGTATTATAATTTTATTGATTTTGTTTTATTTCACAGGGACATTTATTTATTTGATGGAATATTTATTAATACTTTATTAATCACATTATTCATTTACTTCATTTTAAGTGAGACGGCTCTCTGTAAAATTATAGCCATCGATCAATTAAAATAAAGTAAGCACAGGTGGACTTCTAAACAGTTTGATGCAGGTATGATGTCATGCAGGTAGGCTGAGACAGTCAGACAGGTGGACCTACCGTAGGAAAGAGGATCTCTCCTCACAGCTGGAAGAGAAGGAAGGAAGTTGAACAAAGAAGAAAAGACAAAGACGAGCCTCATCTTTCATTAAATCAAACGCCAAAGATAAAAACTGTTCAGAGGAAGAAGCTTTTAGAGGAGCCGCGTGTTTCCTCAGCTGGGAGGAGCTAAACCTGTGGTCAGGTGTAAACTCACTGCGGTCAGGTGTGTGAGCTCACTGCGGTCAGGTGTAAACTCACTGCGGTCAGGTGTGAACTCACTGCGGTCAGGTGTGAACTCACTGCGGTCAGGTGTGTAAACTCACTGCGGTCAGGTGTGTGAACTCACTGTGGCCAGGTGTAAACTCACTGCGGCCAGGTGTGAACTCACTGCGGTCAGGTGTGAACTCACTGCGGTCAGGTGTAAACTCACTGCGGTCAGGTGTAAACTCACTGCGGTCAGGTGTGTGAACTCACTGTGGTCAGGTGTGAACTCACTGCGGTCAGGTGTAAACTCACTGCGGTCAGGTGTGTGAACTCACTGCGGTCAGGTGTGTGAACTCACTGCGGTCAGGTGTGTGAACTCACTGCGGTCAGGTGTGTGAACTCACTGCGGTCAGGTGTAAACTCACTGCGGTCAGGTGTGTGAACTCACTGTGGTCAGGTGTAAACTCACTGCGGTCAGGTGTGTGAACTCACTGTGGTCAGGTGTGTGAACTCACTGTGGTCAGGTGTAAACTCACTGTGGTCAGGTGT